AAAATCCTATTTTTACGATATTTAAGATTTTCATATAATTTAATTTTTTATTTAAAAAAATATTTTTTATTTAATGCATTTAAAATAAGCGTATACAATTTTCATTTAACGCATTCATTTTTTTTAATTTAAAGCAACATTTAAAAAAATTACAGTTTTCGTCAAAATCACATATGGTTCACAATTAATCATTATTTTTTTTCAAAATGTTTTTCTAATCATATATGATTTAAAGCTTAAAAAACAATAATTCAAATTAAACATTGAACAGAAAAATAATGAAAACAGAATCACACGTAATGTGTAGCGAAACACATTTAAAATGTATAATATCACATGTGCTTCAAAATGTAATTCATAATTTACACATATCACATTTAATGTTGTAGATAACTTACATTTGTTTTTCACCATAATCAATTATATGTGTGTGTATATATATGTATATATGTGTGTGTGTGTGTATAGACGAAGGATTGTGTGAGAAAAAAGAGTTAATTGATATTTGACTCTCATTTCCCTTTCAGCATCATAAGTTCATAAGAATTTAACTGCTCAATGAGATTATTCAAAACACTAACATACACAAGTAGATGAGCGTTCAAATAAAAACCACTCAATTTATATAAATCGTGAAAACCACATTCAACCAATCATAATTTTTCATTTTGTTCATTTTTTTTTGTAATTATGAGATGTTGATTAACTTTTTTTATTGTGGAGGGTGTTAATCATGAATATTATCTTTTCATTATTTTAATTTTAGAGAAATAAATGAAACAATTTCATTAAATATTATATGAAACAATTTCATAACCATATATGAAACAAATTCATCAAAAAAAGTATTATCTAAAACAAATTCACAAAATTAAACAATTTCATGAATTTTTTTATAAGATTAAACAATGAAATCAACGTATAAGAGTGGTTTGTACGGTTTGTACAAATTAGGATGATTTTCATTTGATCACTCATCTACACAAGTATGTATATATATATATATATATATATATACATACATATGTCACTTTAAGACACGTCTTGAAAAACGTCATGACCCCACCGTAATCCATAAGACATGAGGTTTGACCTCGTTTTCACGTCATGTCTCATATCATTTAGAACCTTAATTAAAAAGCAGGTCATTAAGCAATTTCATTTACAATGCCTAATTTATATTATAAGCTTTAATCCATATAAAATTAAGTTATATCAAACAACATCCCCTCAGTATCAAATGTGAGTGATTTTTGTTAAGAAGATATAATTCAACAACAGCTATGAACAACGTCCAAATTATTGTTGGTGCAGACGAATAAATAAATCTATACTATATTATAAAGTATTGACAAAAACTCTTAAAAACCATTTTTTATGCATGAAGTACTGTTTATTAATACATATTACTTAAAATTCAAAATTATAAGTAAATTGTGTGTAAGTACAACTTATTAAGCTCCATGTGTTAAATTCGTGTAACTAACTGTAGATAAATATAATCAAATACAAAAAAAAAATTCTTATTTTGAATATAAAATCTAAAATATAATTAGGATAATTATTGAGTTTTAAGAGAATATTTAGTTATTATCTTTATAAAAATTATATTATTAAATCAAATTTTAAATTACTTCATCATTAAACCTAAATTAAATTATATTAAGAAAAATGAATTAAAAAAATATACAAAAAATGAGATATTTTATATATTTTGTAATTTTTATGATATCATCAAATTTATATTTTATTAAGAAAAACATTATTGTTTGCTTAAAACTACATAAATTCATATTATAGCATCGACATAGACCAAAAATAAAATAAAATATTAAAATCGAGATATATCTTGCTATATTATACAAGTATCTTTCTAGTAATATTAAATATAACAACCGGAGAAATAATAATTTTATCTTTTAAAAAATGAAAAAAGTGGTATCACTTTCGGCTAATTATAATCTATTTAAATATATATATCTATTTATTGTTTGATAAGAATAACCGAAAAGACATCTTTTTAATGATTTAATTCTTACAGAAAATGTAAACAAAAAAGTGTTAAAAAAGGGGTAGTTGATGTCATTCCATAATTAAGTGGATGCCACAAGACAAACCATTATCTTAATAATAATATTTCAATAATTTATTCTAAATATTTATTTTTTTATTTGTAAAAGATGCAAACGAACACATATAAACATAAACAGTAAACGAACGGAAATCTTTGTAAACAAATACGAACAAAGGTTTGTTTATGTTTGTTCATTTAACTTAACCGAACAAACAAACAGTAAACGAACAAAAATCTTTGTGTTCGTGTTCGTTCGTTTAGAAATCAGGTTTGTTCGTTTATGTTCGTTCGTTAACATGTTAAACGAACGAACATAAACGAAAGAGCCAAACGAAAAAAACAAGCCTAAACAAATATAAACGAGCATATAAGGTTTCATCTGGAGACTAAGATTTTGAAAGAAAAGCGAAAAGGTATTATAAACATTTATTTTGAAACATAAAATAAAGTATTAACGATATACATGTTTCACTACATATAAACATATAGAAATGTAAAGAAATTGGTTGTTTTCCGTATACCTAATTTTGTTATCCAATAATGCCCATCAACATTAAATACATCATACCAAAAGGCCTTTGACTTAGCGGTATACGAGTCATTGGCCTTCTAAAAAGTCAATGGTTCAAACCTCACCAAAAATGAAGAGGATGTATGAGTTTATTTGTTCTATTCACAGTATATAAATATTATATACTTAAAAAAAACTATTAAATACATCATACATCCACCTATGCCAGCAAATACGAACAATATTCTTTTACCATATTTCGAGTAGATTTAAAATGTGGTCCATCAACCAAAATCATGGCGACAAATTAGCAAATTTCTCACATGGGTGCAACACGGGACACAAGCCAAACCATAATTAACGACTTGATTACTGTATCTATATCTATACTATCTTATAAAGCATTTAGCTAAAACTCTTAAAAACTCTTAAAAACTCTTAAAACTCTTAAAACTCTTAAACCCGTTCATCCTTATCCGATTTCAGCCCTATCCGATTTCATCCCATATCTGAATTCGTGTAACTAACTGCAGATAAA